TCCTAGAAACATTTGGGCAGAGACCAGAGCTCCTAGGACCCAGCTGAGCTACACAGCCAGCAAAAGAGAAACTTGATTGTTCTCTGGCTTCCAGCTAAGAAAACACATTTGGCTAAAAAATATTTGTCAAGCTCCTGTGTCCTGCATGAGGCTTAGATATTGCCAGGTTTGATTCATCCCTCTGGCAAGGACATCTCTTTCACAAAATTTCAGCTCAGTCAGTGCTGGACAGAATAAACAAATTCTAGAATTCACAATTCTGGATATAAAAGACAGGCACAGCTGGATTTTGTCTTTTTTCTACCCCCTGTCCTGGGCAGGAAATTAGAGTCAGGATCCATTCCCGGAGCTCCCTCTGCTTTATTTTGCCAACGGCTGTACATGTTCAAGCTTCTATCTCCTCGTTAGCAAAAGGAGGTATTCTGACCATCAGCAAAGATAAAATTATGATGATACACAATGCTCAAGATGGTGTAAGAAATGGACAATGTTCTATAGGACTGAAGGGAGTAAAAACTGGATTGACCAGTCTTGGAGGCAAACTGACAATCGTGGAAATAATTAGAAGAAGCCTTTTTTTTTTTTTTTTTTTTTGTGGTACGTGGGCCTCTCACTGTTGTGGCCTCTCCCGTTGAGGAGCACAGGCTCCGGACGCACAGGCTCAGCGGCAATGGCTCATGGGCCCAGCCGCTCCGCGGAATGTGGGATCTTCCCGGACCGGGGCACGAACCCGTGTCCCCTGCATCGGCAGGCGGACTCTCAACCACTGACCCAGAAGAAGCCTTTTTAAAAAGCATATCCTTTAGGGACCTCCCTGGTGGTCCAGTGGTTAAGACTCCACACTTCAAATGCAGGGGGCGTGGGTTCGATCCCTGGTTGGGGAACTAGGATCCCACATTCCACATGCCATGGCCAAAAAAAAGAAAGAAATCAATATAATAACCTAATTGTAATATAAAGGTGAAATTAAGTGAAGTAATTTTTTTAAAAAATTACCCTTTGAAGGAGCAATTCCACACATGGAATTTATCCTGATGAAATAATTAAGGATGTGTACCAAGTTGTAGGTATTTACATGGAAATATTTCTATAATATTACATTTTTTAAAGAATTTTGCAAGATAATATATACAATATGATCCTATGTTTTCATAAAAGGATATAGATATAGACATTTGATCAACACAGTGATGAGAGTTCTTTTTTTTTTGTTGTTGCAGTACGCGGGCCTCTCACTGTTGTGGCCTCTCCCGTTGCGGAGCACAGGCTCCGGATGCGCAGGCTCAGCGGCCATGGCTCACGGGCCCAGCCACTCTCCGGCATGTGGGATCTTCCCGGACCGGGGCACGAACCCGTGTCCCCTGCATCGGCAGGCAGACTCTCAACCACTGCGCCACCAGGGGAGCCCGAGAGTTCATATTTTAATCTTGCAGACAACAGAGATTTTTTTTTAGCTTACATCAAAAATTTTAAAAAATTGATCATGTAGTTAGTCTCAAAGACAGTCAATAGGGCTTCCCTGGTGGCGCAGTGGTTGAGAGTCCGCCTGCCGATGCAGGGGACACGGGTTCGTGCCCCGGTCCGGGAAGATCCCACATGCCGGAGAGTGGCTGGGCCCGTGAGCCATGGCCGCTGAGCCTGCGCATCCGGAGCCTGTGCATCCGGAGCCTGTGCTCCGCAACGGGAGAGGCCACAACAGTGAGAGGCCCGCGTACCGCAAAAAAAAAAAAAAAAAGACAGTCAATAAATTTCAGAGAATTGATATCATAAGTTCATATTCTATGATAGCAACAGAATTCAATTTTTTTAACATCTTTATTGGAGTACAATTGCTTTACAATGGTGAGTTAGTTTCTGCTTTATAACAAAGTGAATCAGCTATACATATACATATATCCCCATATCTCCTCCCTCTTGCGTCTCCCTCCCTCCCACCCTCCCTATCCCACCCTTCTAGGTGGTCACAAAGCACCGAGCTGATCTCCCTGTGCTATGCGGCTGCTTCCCACTAGCTATCTGTTTTACATTTGGTAGTGTATATATGTCCATGCCACTCTCTTACTTCATCCCAGCTTACCCTTCCCCCTCCCTGTGTCCTCAAGTCCATTCTCTACGTCTGTGTCTTTATTCCTGTCCTGCTTAGAATTCAATTTTAAATCAACAAAATGCTTACTAAAAAGGAAAATATCATTTTGTGAATTAAGAAACAATCTTTAAGTGACCCATGGGATATAGAGGAAATCACAAGGGAAATTACAAAATACTGGGAACTGAGAAGCAATGAAAATATTGCATACCAATCTTGTAGCATCCTACAAGCTAAAACAGGACATCAAAGAAAATGTGTAGGCTTAATAAATTATCAAAGAAAGAAATATGGCTTAGACTGGGACCTGTACCTTAATATCTATGCCCCCTCTTTCCTGTAATAATAAAACCTCTGGTTTCTAGGTAGGCACATGGCTGCTCAGAATGAAGACCACCCTTCCCAACCTCTCTCATAGTTAGAATGGCCAGTGTTGAAGTTCTGCCCAGTGGACTGTAAACAAAAGTAATATGTACAGTTTTCTGATCATATCCTCAAAGTGACTTCTTGACACTTTTCACCTTCCTGCTGATGGAAATATAGACATGGTGGCAGTAGGTTGGCTGTGGTATAGTAAATAATTTGTCTGGTCTTTGTCCCAGGTTCCTGGCATAGAACTTCAAAAATCCTAGGGATTTCCTGAGTGATAAGAGCATCTCTATTATGCTAATGAAATGACACATGGTGGAACCCGAGAGAGCTTCAGGATAGGGGCTGGTCACTAGAAAGACCAAGCACAAGCTAAGACTTTTAAGCACCCAACTTCTGGGGAGGGGGCAGTGGGCAGGATATTGAGTTCAATCACGTGGCCAATGATTTAATCAATCTTGCCCATGTAATAAAAACTCTGAACACCAAAGCTCAGAGGAGCTTCCTGATTGCTGCGCACACTGCTGTGCTGGGAGAGTGATGCACCCTTGAATCCGTGGCATTGGCCATGGAAGCTCTGCATTAGGACCCTTCTAGACCTCTCCCTAGGTGTATCCTTTTGAAATTATAATCATAAATATCATACTTTCAGTGGTTCTGTGGATCATTCTAGTAAATTATCACCCCTGTGTGGAGCTGTGGGAACCTCCTAGACTGGTAGCCAATTGGTCAGAAGTTCAGGTGGCCTGGGGACCCCCTTGCAGCTGCTGTCTAAAGTGGGGGCAGTCTTGTGAAAGGATGAGCCCTTAACTTGTGGGACTGTATTGCAGTACATCCAATTGGGGTGGATACAGAGTAGCAAACAACTATACCAGTTTTCCCAGTACTGAGGGGTTTCCCTGGGCATGGGACTTCCAGTGCTAAAACCAAGGAAGTCCCAGGCAAACCAGGACAAATCACTCTGTGCTGTGGTGCTTCTAAAGGTATAAGGACAAGGGCAACACCTTGAAGACTGGTGAAGCAAAAAGACAGAAAGATCGTGAGTTCCTAAGGATTTCATGGAGCAGAACTTCCTCCTGATGGACCTGGACTGGCTACTTCTAGCATTTTACATGAGAAAAAAATATGTGTCCTGTTAAAGCCACTATTTCTGTTAAACACAGACTCACCTAATTTGGGTACCTTAAAGTGGAACGCTGAACATAACAGAGACAAACATCCATGTGGCTTTAGAATACTAACTGGGTGATGGCCATGTTGACTCAGATATTGCAGGTTGGAAAATTAGTAAGCCTTGTTACACAGGGACTAAATCTTTGGCAGAATAGTATTGCACTGCTTTGGAAGATAGAACACAGATTCAATGAGGCTATAGTGCTAGAAGAATACATATATAATATATAGAGTATGCTGGTCTGAGTTAGCACTGCTCGTGGTTTTCAGAGAAGAGATATAAATCCTAGAGAAGAGATATAAATCCAAAATAAAGCTAGACAGCTAGCACAGAAGCACACTCTGCCTGTGGTTTACAGTCTAAGTTGACCAGGAGTTTATTTGCTTGGGTTTTTTCAGGGTTGAAAATTGCTTCTCTAGCCCCCAAATACAGCTATTAGGAGTGATAGCCCTGTAGTGCCAGACTTAGCAGGAGATAAAACCATGGCCCCCAAATGTATTCAACACCTTCTTTTAAGAGATGTTTTTGCCAGAACATTGGAGCCAGCCTCTAGGAAATGATTAGATGAATGAAGTCTTTGTGTTAGGTGCAACTAGTTAGCTGCCACTAAGTTGAAAGAGAGAGTAATGAGCAAAGCACAGAAGTAAATTCAAAACAGAACCTTCAGGTTTAAATTTTTATTTCTAAGAGAAAGAGAGCTGGCTGTGGGTGTTTGACAAAGAATTGACTTGACATGTACCATCAAGAAGTGGGTTTCAAAATCTTTCTAGTCCACAAGGAGAACATGCTCTGAATGGCCCACCTCAAATGTGTCAAGGGAGGATCATGGATAAGAAAGAACATCCAAAATGGTAATGCCAGACGACATCAAAAGATGATGAACTAAAGAGTTCGTCCAAGAGAGGGAATCATACTGGATGGGCAATGGGGTTTGATCAGTCATTAGGGGGCATTTGCTGTTCTGTGTTTCACCTTCCCCGCTGTCCAAATGAGATTTTTTTATGATTGTTTTCCTAACCCTACTTCATCATTGTATATTGGCTATATGAGAGGCAGATAATTTATCTTGTATTTTTTTAAGTCATTGCACCATGAAGAGCCACATGTAGACCTAATGGAGAGGACCGTGCATTACCCAGAGATCCTAGACTCTGAGTTGGGTTCAATAACTACAAGGGACCTTGGAATTGTCTCCTTTGGTGTAGGGATGGTTGGGAAGATGGGAACACATGGATGTTTGGGTAGCAAAGGGATGGACTGTGGCCAGAGCTACTAGTTGTTCCCAGTATCCATTATCCTTTCCTCCCACAGTAACATATCCCTTAATTTTTAGCTGAACACAGGGCTTCTCAGAATAAAAACCAAATTTACCAGCATCTCTTGTGTGGTCATCAGAAGAGTTCTTGCCAATGGGATATGAGCAGACATGATGCATGTAATTTCCAGGTCATATCTTCAAGGGAGGGAATCCTTTCTTCTCCTCCTCCTTCATGTTGGCTGGAACAGAGTCATAGAGATAAATTATCTTGCAACAAGTGGACAAGAGGAAAACTGTACAAACAACAAAATAAAAGGATCCTGAATCCTTAGGCTTTTGTGAAGCACAGTTGCTATGCCAGCCCTGGATTTCCTACCTCCTACATTCTCATGCGTGAGAAAAATAAACTTCTGTCTTGTTTAAGCTGTAGTTATTTTGGGTCTCTGCTATATGCAGCCAACTCTCTAATGCTAACTAATGTAAGAAATATGGAGAATAAATGAATTATGCATTCACTTTTAAACCTAGAAAGAAAACTCAAAAAGGTAGAAATAAGCAAGTAAAAATAAGATCAGAATTAATGAAATAGAAAAAAGTAGTTTTGACAAAGAACAAGCAAGTTCTCTGAAAATAATAATTATGTAGATAAACTTTTTTACAAAAGTGATCAAGAAAGAAGGCACAAATAATATTCTCATTAGATCATAATTAATAAACAAGAAAAGTTTGTTTTTTAATGATAAGAGATTCTTACAAATCACTTTAGGTTGACATAAGACATAGATATAAGGAGAATTTTTCTATAAAAGTATAGAAAGCCAAAATTGACAGAGAAAAAAATAGAAAATCTGAATATGTCAATAACTATTTTTTTAAGAATCATTTGTCAAAATTCTTCTACACCCCCCCAAAAACATACTATGCCCAGACAGTTTTATAATCAAATTTTACCAAATGTTCAAGGAAGGAACAGACTATTTCTATATTGTATAAATTCTTTCAGAGAAAAAAAAAGAAAGGTTCCAGACCATCTTATGAGACTAGATTAACCTGGATTCTAAAACCAGATATGGATAATTAATTAGTCAGCTTTACTGCAGAGACAACCCAAAAATCTCCACGGCTTACACAAACAAAGATTATTCCTCATTCATATTACACGTGGACTGCAGGTGAGCTGAGGCCCTGGCCCCAGCTGCACCTCTGTTCCATGTGTCTTTGCATTCAGGGGCCCAGGCTAAAGGAGCATTCCCTGTGTGGAACATGCTCATCTGGAGGGCAGAGGAAAAGAGTCCGAGAGCTAGTAAATAATTGTAACGTCTCTTAAAATCTCTTGGTTTACGCTTGGGACTGACAGAGAGTCACTTCCACACACAGGTTCAAGATCAAACTTGACAAAAGAGAAGGTAGAATTAAATAACTGTTAACAATGATGCAATTCTCTACAGATAGTATTTTAAGCAGCGTCTTAATGGGCAAAGGTCCAAAGGGGGCAGTACAGATAGCAGAATATGCAAAGTGCCGGCCCAAATAGGAAGGGTTGCTGTGTGAAAGAAGCAGAAATACTTGGGTAAGACCAGAGTCGATGGGCAAAGTCCCAAGGAATGGCTTCCTCCTGTCTGTACTGTCCAGTCAGGCTGCAGATCATCAACAGAGGTAGTACCAGGCGGTGCCGAGCAGAGGCTGGATGAGTACCTTGTCGGGATTTGTGGAGAGGAGACAAGTGAGCACTGGGCCAGCTGACATCCAAGGTCTTACAGTGCGAAAGGCCTACGAACAATGGGCAGTCCACTTGTCTCCTCTGAGGCTAAGTCTTTAGGTCTGGTCGCTGATGATACTTGCCACAACTTACATACTGGGATCTCCGCCCAAAATATGCTCATCACCCCAAACTTCCTTAATTCCTGTATTTCCATTAACTTGTCAGGGTATATTTTAATTATCTTGTTCCATGTTCATCAACCCCCATGGTCTCATGGAGGTGGTCTTGTGAACTATACCGTTTCAGGGATCAGGTCTGATATTTTTATTTCCAAGAACCCATCCCAGGGCCAGGTGCTACTGAGTGGATGAGTAGACTTACCCATGACTTTTTAAGTTGCATAGTATTCCATGGTTCTGATATAACAACATGGAACCGTCTACCCCAGAGGTTCTGAAATCAGATAGGCCGAGGGGGAGCAGCCCAGAGAATCACAAGCAGCTGCTGCATTTATCATGTCTATTACTTTCGGGTGAGAGGTGTCAATCAAAAAAAGACCATCATGTGCCTTTTGAACGACTCCTAGAAATGAATACACACTGGTGAACAAAAACTGAGAATTAAAAATAAAATGTGAAGTAGAACTGAGCTCTTGGTTGGAAATGCAAGCTTTTAATATTTAACACCTTGGAGGGCAATGCAGGTCTCAGTTCCTCTGACTGACAGCTCCTAATGACAGCAATAAACCAAGGTGCCCCATCTGCCAAGCAGATGTTCTGAGTTGACAAGGGGCCCAACCACTGTCCCAGATGCATCTGGGTTTTTTAATTGCTGAACCCTGTTTAAGGGCCTGAGCTATAATATGCATGTGCTTTGTCACCAAAGAAATGGCGATACATACGACAGGAACATGGAGCCTGATAAAATCAGAAAGAGGACATTATCAATGTTCAGATGAAGGTAGATAGGAGTTCTGACTGCTTCACTAAAATAATTCAAAGCAAGTTCAGAATGAACTGGAGTGGAGGGAGGTGGTGAGAAGAGAGAGATGTCGTAACTAAAATTAATTACTCTTGTTACTATGGTAGCAACCCAGAACAAGCAGAGTTAGACACACATCCAAGGTGAATCCCAAAAAGGGCCATGTGCTTGCTTTCCTTCCCCAAGTAGCTGGAAGCAGTTATCTAACAGGATTAAATCCCATTGTTAACCCACTTGACTCCAAAGACAATCTTCCTCTCTGGTTGGTTCAGGGCTGTAACAGCACAAGTGTTGTTTGAATCCTAACATCTCTTACCCACGTTCATGCTGACCATTCTTTCAAGATAGCCAATTAGGTGGTGTCTTGGTTGGGTCCGCCAGAAGCTGACCCAGAGAAGGAGAAGGATTCCAGAGCAAGTAGTTTAGTAAAGCCCAGTAAGAAATGGAACCATCGAAGAGGGATCACCCAATGAGAAGGAGACATGGAAGTGTCAGAGACATGGTACCTCCACAGAGTGGGAGGGAATAAAGACCCTAGTCTCTCCCTTCCCACACTCTGATCTCCTCTCATTGGCCAAACCCAAGCATAAGGCAGAAGGTAAGGGAGCCCAGGTAGTGCAATTTACAAATTACATAGCCTCACGTGGCACAGAGCAAAAAGGAAAGGTACAAATTGAACTGGTGGGGAGGGTGTATGGTGACTCAAACATGGAATGATCAGCACATCCAGGCTGGCTGATAGGGCTGGGAGAGTCTAACCAAAATTTAGCCAGTTTCCTTCAAAAGCCAATAGATACCCCTTTTAAAGTTTGTAAAGGAAGATGTGCTAAGAAGGATACATTTCTCAAACCCAGCTAAGACTGAGGGTCCTAACAAGCTAGAGGACAGAATTCTCGGAAGCTGACCTCTTAGCCACTGCAAGGAAGCAGAGAGAGCTTTAATTAAAAGCCGTCCTTCCCGTGCTGCTGCCCAGCTTCAAGCAGTCCTTTGGTCCCCAGCTGCCTCCTTGAGTCCCAGAATACTTTCCACCCACAGAGGAACAAAGCACATCTGCTGCTTCCTGGTACCTAGAGGCCTCTTGTTACCCACCCTCCTGTTCCCTTTTGCGGGGGGAGGAAAAGAAATATCCATGAGCAACTCGAGGTTGTACACATCAGCCTTTAAGAATCCCCAGATGGATTGATCATTTTCTCACTGCCCTGACCTTCTGATTTCACCCAAGAGGCATCATTAAAATTGAACCCTTTCCACACATGCTCACAAAAGCAGCACCAGTTTGGCCCAGGAAAATATTGGTCTATCTGGTCCACAAGCCTCACAGCACACAGCCTCCCCAGTTGTAGAAAGGTGCCAGTGGAACAGATGGCCAAAAGGTACATGAAAAGATGCTCAACATCACTAATTATTACAGAAATGCAAATCAAAACTACAGTGAGGTGTCACCTCACACTGGTTAGAATGGCCATCATCAAAAAAATCTACAAACAATAAATGCTGGAGAGACTGTGGAGAAAAGGGAACCCTCCAACACTATTGGTGGGAATGTAAATTGGTATAGCCACTGTGGAGAACAGTATGGAGGTTCCTCAACTAAAAATAGAGCTACCATATGATCCATCAATCCCACTCCTGGGCATATAACCGGAAAAAAAACACAATTTGAAAGGATACATGCACCCCAATGTTCACTGCAACACTATTTACAATGGTCAGGACATGGAAGCAACCTAAATGTCTATCAATGGAGGAATGGATAAAGAAGATGTAGTACATATATACAATAGAATATTACTCAGCCATAAAAAAGAATGAAATAATGCCATTTTCAGTGACATGATGGACCTAGAGATTGTCATACTGAATGAAGTCAGACAGAGAAAGACAAATATCATATGATACCACTTATATGTGGACTCTAAAGAAATGGTACAAATTTATCTACAAAACAGAAGTTGAGTCACAGATGTAGAAAACTAACTTCTGGGGCTTCCCTGGTGGCGCAGTGGTTGAGAGTCTGCCTGCCGATGCAGGGGACGCAGGTTCGTACCCCGGTCCAGGAAGATCCCACATGCCGCGGAGCGGCTGGGCCCGTGAGCCATGGCCGCTGAGCCTGCGCATCTGGAGCCTGTGCTCCGCAACGGGAGAGGCCACAATAGTGAGAGGCCCGCGTACCACAAAAAAAAAAAAAAAAAAGAAAACTAACTTGTGGTTACCAGGGGGGAAAAGAGGGGGGAGGGATAAATCAGGAGATTGGGATTGACATATACATACTACTATATATAGAATAGATAACTAATAAGAACCTACTGAATGGCACAGGGAACTCTATTCAATACTCTGTAATGATCCATATGGGAATAAAATCTAAAAAAGAGTAGATATGTGTGTATGTATAACTGACTCACTTTGCTGTACAGCAGAAACTAACACAACATTGTAAATCAACTATACTCCAATAAAAAATAATAATAAATTTAAAAAGATAAAAGAAAGGTGGCGGTGGAGGTGATATTGGGCTGCTGTGACTGTTACCACTGTGGCTGTTTAAAAAGCAAC